GACGTCATGTGATAATAACCGTCCTTCCCTCTACTTAGATAGTGTTTTGTTAGACATTGGTTGTATTCGCAATGGGTCAAGAATAATGTTGGTTCTTTAAACTGAAAAAGATACACCACTTACCGTGCAAATTATACAGGCAAATATCCATCGTACTGGCACTTATTGTTCATTCAAATGAAAATGTTTCTTGTGTATGCATTAAACTGTGTAGCGGATCAAAACTAATAACTTTATCGTAATTTAAAATATCCAACTAGAATCAAAAGAACTCAATAAAAAAGTAAACAAACTACAAATAAAAACAAATCTAACAGCAGCTGATGCATCTTTAATGTTTTAGTTATTAAATACAGCCATTTGACTGTTGTATCAATAGTCATACACAGTAATTAAGGAAAAACTTATATTATTTATGGGGAAGATTTACATCAAGAGTTTTCATTCGAGTATACGATTGATAGGTATGTGGCTTGGGGTTATCTCAAAAGTTCGTGACCATTAGTTTTGCCATTGACTATTGGATTAATAGTCAATGGTTTTGCTTTTTACATAGATTTATACGATCCATCCAATGTCACCAAACTACATATTGTGATATACTTTACTCAAACACACAAATGTTTTGACAGTCAATGCGCTTGCTTCAAGACTATGAAATGCGATGCATTCAGCGGTCTCTGATAAAGCTTTTGGCAGTTCAAAACTATACCTAACTGCCCTTGATCATTGTGATTTTCATAAATATTTCTGGCTAAAGAGCCAACTTATCTTAGCCAGTAACAAATCCATCATCTCATTCATTCAACATTCATCGTATAATCATCTTAGCCTGAAAAGACCCTGGCGTGTGCTGGCGGCGTACCAATGTAATCTAACTTATTGATACATGCCACGATTTTTATTTATGCATTCCTTACTTTTGTATGTAAACTTGCAACACCATCCTAAAAACTATTTTAGGTCACAAAACTCTGCTCACAGTAAATACCCAATGGATCAGTGGAACCGCCGCCCTACAGTTTAGTATGGAGGTCAGGGTTCAAGTGATGTGTTGTACATGTTAACTGTGGGTGGAGGTGGAGAAAGTAGGACTGGTGTGTCTTCGGGCTGGAAACCTCCTCTTGGGAAGCACGATGGTGCTTCATGGTAAAAGGTATGTTAAAGGTAAAAAAAAGACATCAAAGGCAGGTAGACATAGAAATTTAGGTCGTGTTTCGACCTCAATGACCCATTCGTGTATCCCCCAGAATACAATGATACATTTATTTGCTATAGCTTCTTATTTGGTAATAACTATTTCGATAGTAGCTTATGAGTACATTTTGAGCTTATGAGCTCATGAGCTTATGAGCACACTATAAACGTTTCCCTAAAATGAAGGGAGACATTTGGTAAACATCAGCTCAATAAAACCGGACACGAAAAATTTTTCGAAAGAGACTTCAGATAACAAATTGATAATAACAATGTACTCGAATTCTTAGGAACGTTATAAATTTATCATGGGACGGAAGCGTTGTGTCGTTAGACCACTATGCGAAATTTAGACATTGTTTTGATAGGGAAAATTCCGAAAGACGTTACGCCGAATCATATGTTCGGCGCATCACCTTCTAGTGAATGCGATTCAGAGTTACCTAACCGTGCACATTCTTTCGGAAGAGTGCTTTAGCTTTGTATTCTTTTTTAGCAGCATCTTTCTGACCATTAATTTCAAGAGTAATGTTATTTAGAGGTATGCTTTGTTGGAACAATTCTTATGGAGCAGAGTCGCTTTAAATCCGCATGTTTTTCGGAGCAAGGCCGCGCACCACTCTTCGCTACCATCCAGTGTCCACCGTGCAGCGTTTCTCCTATCTGATTGTTGTGCGACAGGCGGCTCTGTAGTCTGTACCCAGCTGTCACCGGCCTTCAAAGTCCCCCATTGTGGAGACCGATAAATCAGCCCCACTTTCCAGTATATATATATCCCCGTCTCCACGGAAGGTTGCTGAGAACCAGTTACGCTGCAAAACGTCAGCCGTCCCGCCAAAATGTGGAACGCCCGAGTAACGGAGGGGTTTTTTCTCAAATCGTTTAGATCCGGGTGACCAGTTGATGTTTGTGTCAAAATACCTGACAGGATGCTTTGAAGGAAAGTTGTATTTTACTTGTGACTGTCAACTTGCAGATACTACATAAACATAAGCAATTGGACCTTGTAAAATCTGTTAAATTATCTAGTAATTTAATAGCTAGGGTTTTCTTATTATGGACCAAAAAGATGTTTAAATAATTAGGAAAGACTCTACAAACACTTGGTTCATCATAAACAATAAATATGCTTTGTCTAGAGTACTGTCTTGATTGACGTGTATAAGTTCATGATTTTGTTTTTAACAATAATCTATTATATTATTAAAGTGATACGATCAAATTTTATGTAAACTGTTAAGGCCATTTACCGAATAAAAATATAGGCAAATGGCATACCATAATGAAGCTTAGAGTGTGTAGATTTGCCGAAAAGTATTGATATGGACGAACTCCCTAAGGGCTCTGCCCTACAGGCTGATTTCCAAAGAGCTACGCCTTGCATGTTTTAGAAGTTAACGTTATTCGATTAATTTAGTGAACAACAGCTGCTGGCCAATGCAATTTTTTTTTTTTTTTTTTTTTTACAATAGTTGACAAAAGACAATTGACAATAGTTTGTTTGTTTACATTTTTGTTTAATTATTTTATTATTTACTTTTATGGACAGTGAAGCTATTTCTAGCTGTTTGATACAAGTGAGTGATTAAAGGTGTTCGAAACACGATGGATATGAGATTAACAAACCATGTGTGTTGTTCGTTCCAAGATGTCGTCACCGATCTTTAACAGGTCGCCATTTCATTAAAAAGTATTAAAGTATAAAAGACGTCGTGATAGAGAGCGGCGAGTTCAGGTACAACCGTACCCACCTCGGCCACCTCAGGACGTAAGGTATGAAGGTTTCACTGCTTTTAACATCCGTCCAGATGACAATTTCTCGAACTTGGGCCCTTTAAATGAAATATCAAGCCAAAGTTGATTACATTTTAACTTAATGGTGGCTTCTGTCCACCCGTGAATTCGCGGGTAGAACCTCTTGTAAATACTTAAAAAACTGTTGCTTGGAAAATCTCATGAAACTCAATTATAAATTCGTGAGCCACAGATATTAGACTCGCTCGTTTCTTTCTCAATTATAAACGAAGTATGAATGACTATTTTATAGAGTTGTGGTAAAATCGCCCTTACGTACCTGTCCCAACTTAGATAACGATGAACGAACTAGATGGTTTCGGAACGCTTTTGTTTTTGAGACCCTTGTATGTTAGTAATGGGTGTAACAGTTATGTTTTGTTGGTGCTTAATGTCTGGGACTTCGGTGCAAAAGAGACTTGTTCAATCACCGGCACATCCAATAAATATGTAGAATTTGAACCATTTTTACTGGGTTGATTGAAATTATTTAATCAAAAATTGCACTGGCGGAGACACCAACAAAAAGATGGTTGAGGAGAAGTGTCCAGTTAGTTACGTTGATAAAACTGTACGAAGACGAGACTCAAGTATAAGATCCATCGATCACTCTTGACTCAAGAGCAACTCCAGACTAAAAGACTTTGTCATCAACTCTTCTCAGTTTATTAATCTCTTTCACAACAAACTCCAACTTTACTCCATTAGCAGATTCTCTTCAAGTGACTTTTTCTGTTCAAGTAACTAAAGTTGACACTCGTTAGGTAAATGTGGACCTACTGAACTATACATTTCGTACTTAGTTTGTTGGATTTTAAAAGGAAAAAGCATAATAGTATTGAGTACTGTATACGAGCCTATTGGTGTCTGTGAAATATCTATATAAATAAAATTAGAGTTTTGTCTGTACATTGCTTAGAATAATGAACTTTTTGGTTATTTTTACATTTCATAGGTCAGAGAAACCGAATCAAACCTTATCTCAATTTCTGTCTGTCTGTCTGTCTGTCTGTCTGTCTGTCTATCTGTCATTCTCTTGGTAACGCTAAAATACGCACTTTATTACAACTACTCCTCAATAACTATAGCACTGTCCCGCCTGAAACTTATTTTCCAAATACTATACATATATGAGATGGTTTTAGACGTATTTCATCGAATATGAGACAGTTAGATATTTAACAGTAAACCCTTGAAAATCAAGTTTTTGTCGATTTTTGACGTGGAATTTCTGGAAGAATGTTGCTTTGTTTACAACTAATCATATGCACATGGTTTTAATTGAAATACAATCTTAATTTTGACATTGGCATACAGCTGTGATTAGAAAACGTTAGCCTATTTGAACTCAAGGTTAACCATAGCCTTATCGATTCACACAACTTAAAAACCATACGAAATGTATACTATATTATATAACTGAACACCAGTTCTGCTAATTATAACAATGGGTTTTGTACATTTCATCCATTACCGTACAAATAATTAAAATAATAATACATTAATTGGTTAGAAGTAAATTTAATTCAAATTACAGATTCAATACAAAGTATTCAATATAAAAGTTAAACATTTTAGATAACAAAATTACGATCAGCTGATTGTTATTCTTTAATATCTGTGCGCTACTAACCAGCAAACAAACTTGACCAGTTTATTATTGTTCATTACTCTTTACACCAAAATAAAAGTTATAATAGTTAATAATGTCCTAAATTATTTCACGTTTATAAATAAAAGAAAATCTACTCTTCTTTTAATTTATTTTTTTTTGAGGTAATGTTTTTAAAAAAGTTCATATTCCCATATGAATTTGCATCAATCAGATGTTTCATACTGTACAGTAGAGATATTCGTTGACATAGTGTCAAACACAAATTAAATTTGTTTACAACTAAACATATGGACAATATTTTTGTTGCTTTAGTTGAGAGGTTACAAGTTAATCTTTAATACATTATTTGTTGAAATATTTTCTATTGTTTCTAAATAAATATGTCCTGAAGAGTATGCCTCGCAAGAGAAAAAGCAATTTGGGTAGAAAAACAAATAATGCCAAGAGACAAAAATTGTGTGTATCCACGGAATCAGTTGATTATGATGATTCGGACTCTGATGATGGTGTACATAGCAATAATGAGTCGACAATTTTAAGTTCCGTTGTGGTTGAAGATTATGCACGACCTTCAACCAGTCGAGAGCGTGTCGCCCTATTTAGGTCTCAGCAGAATGAAAAAGAACGTGAAAGCAGGCGAGACACTGAACGTTTAAGATTTAGCCAAAGAATACAAAATGAGACGGAAGAGGAGCGAGAAGCTCGACGGAACAGGGACCGAATACGGCACGTCCAGAGAAAAGAAAATGAGACAGAAGAGGAGCGAGATGCACGTCGGTGCAGCAACCGAATACAGCAAGTTCAGAAGAGGGGAAACGAGACAGAGGTTGAGCGAGAAGCACGTCGGAACAGTGACCGAATACTACACGTTCGGGGGAGGGAAAACGAAACAGAGGAGGAGCAAGAAGCACGTCGGGAGAGTGACCGAATACTACATGTTCAGAGGAGGGAAAACGAGACAGATGAGAAGCGAGAAGCACGTCGGAACAGTGACCGAATAATACACGTAAGGAAGAGGGAAAATGAAACAGAGGAGGAGCAAGAAGCACGTCGGGAGAGTGACCGAAAACTACATGTTCAGAGGAGGGAAAACGAGACAGATGAGGAGCGAGAAGCACGTCGGAACAGTGACCGAATACGACACGTACGGAAGAGGGAAAACGAAACAGAGGAGGAGCAAGAAGCACGTCGGAACAATGACCGAATATTACACGTCCAGAGAAGGGAAAACGAAACAGAGGAGGAGCAAGAAGCACGTCGGGAGAGTGACCGAATACTACATGTTCAAAGGAGGGAAAACGAGACAGTGGAGGAGGGAGGAGCACGTCGAAACAGTGACCGAATCCTACACGTTCGCAGGAGGGAAAATGAAACAAGAGAAGAGAGAGAAAGTAGGCAAGAACGAGATAGAGTTCGGCAAAACCAACGTAGGAATAATGAAACTCCTGAAGAGCGGGAAGCTAGACATATAATCGACAATGATAGGTACCGTCGCACTGTTGAAGAGCAAACTCTACTTTTGCATGACGAGGCGACCCGAGTGGAGGAACTTCGAGCAAGCCAGGACATTGCTGACAGAAATGCCCGTGTTGCCGCTGATTCTGAAAGACATAGGGTGAACAGAGTCGTTGAGAGCGACGCAGAAAGACAAACTAGGATCGCGCGGGAAAGAACTCGGCATGTCGAAAGAAATTTAACAGAATGGCGAGACACACACAACAGTGGATTCCAATATGATCCTTTTACACGTTACAGTGAAGCTGCCAATATTGGAGATTTTGATAAAGTTTGTAGGTTTTGTCACGCTTTGAGTTGGTCAAAGGAACCACGTGGAATATGTTGTGCTTCTGGTAAAGTGTCCATACCGTCTATTTTGGAAGCACCTGAGCCGCTACGTACATGGATATCGGACGAATCACCTCAATCGCGAAATTTTCTTAGACATATCAGGGCCTACAATAGTGCGTTCCAAATGACTTCTTTTGGAGGTAATGAAATCCGTGAAGGACCATATAGGCCTATGCCTACATTTAAGGTTCAAGGACAAGTGTACCATTTGATCGGCTCTCTTTTGCCACCCCCTGGACTTCCGCCGTCTTACCTTCAGATTTACTTTGTTGGGGATGACCAAGTCCAGCTTCAAAGAAGGCAAAGTTTATTTCAAGACCTTGATCATGACATGTTGGCCGCTTTGCAAAACATGCTTCAGAATAATAACGCCTACTTGCTCAGCTTCAAAACTACTTTAGAAACATTTCCTGTAGATTCACCTGATTTCAAAATTGTTATTAGAGCCGACAGACGCCCTGCAGGGGACCACCCAGGTAGATACAATGAACCAACAGTCAATGAGGTTGCTATTTTGATGATTGGGGATCCAAGTGACCATCGAGACATCATTTTAAATTCAAGAGAACAGGGTTTGAAACGAATATATGAAACCCACCGATCTTATGATGCCCTACAATATCCCCTTATGTTTTGTAGAGGCGAAGATGGATATAGTTTCAATTTATATCATGTAAACCCGGTTACTAAACAACCAACCACAAAGAAAACTAGCTCACGAGAGTTTTACGCCTATCGCATTATGGTTAGAGAAGGTGAAGCAAATCACATTCATAAATTCAAACAGCTTTTGAACCAGTACTTGGTGGACATGTACGCTAAAGTTGAGAGTGAAAGGCTGCTGTATCTTCGTACGCACCAAAAGGAACTGAGAGCAGAGAATTACATACACCTTCAAGACGCTTTAAGACGAGACGACAACGTAGAAGAAATGGGGCAAAAGATAATTTTACCTGCCACCTTCACTGGAGGTCCTAGATATATGCATTCTCGCACACAGGACGCCTTTTGCTATGTTCGGAAGTTTGGTCGTCCAGAACTTTTCATAACAATGACAACAAATCCAAAATGGATAGAAATCACGAGTGTAATTGGAGAAAGGCAGTCTGCTCACGACCGGTATGATGTGGTATCACGAGTTTTTCATTTGAAGCTTAACTGTATGATTGCTGTTCTTATGAAAGGCCAGATTTATGGCTCAGTTCGCTGCTACATGTACTCTGTTGAATGGCAGAAACGTGGTCTTCCACACGCTCATATCCTGATTTGGCTTGAAGAATCCATTCCTCCAAATAGAATAGATCAAGTCATTTCTGCAGAGCTTCCAAATCCTGAAACTGATCCTGAACTTGCAGATATAGTCAAGACTCACATGCTGCACGGACCATGCGGAGCTTTTAATGTGCGACAGCGCAAGCTTCCCTGTATGAAGGATGGTCACTGTAGCAAAAGATACCCTAGACCATTTGTCAATGAAACGGCAACAGGAGACAATGGATACCCAACATACAGAAGGCGCTCCCCAGATGATGGAGGCCATCATGTCCTAATCAGAGTAGGTAACGATGAAATCCCTATGGACAACCGATGGGTAGTACCTTACTCGCCTGTATTGTCCCGAACATTTCTAACACATGTTAACGTTGAGTACTGTAGCAGTGTAAAATCTATAAAGTACATCTGCAAGTACATAAACAAGGGCAGTGACCAGGCCACATTTGCAGTAAGTAATGACACAGACGAAATTAAAATGTACCAAAGTGGTCGGTATATATGCACATCTGAGGCGGTATGGAGAATTTTATCATTTCCTATACATGAGAGGTTTCCCGCTGTGTTGCATTTAGAGGTCCACCTTCCAAATGAGCAAAGAGTATATTTCCAGCCAGGCAATGTTCGGGAAAGAATGGACCAAAGTACAACTCTTTTGGCCTTCTTCAATCTCTGCCAGACGGACGCCTTTTCAAGAACCCTCCTCTACAACGAGTTGCCCTATTATTACACATACTCTAAACAAAGAGGTTGGTCCAGGAGGCGGAGAGGACAACCAGTACCAGGACATCCTGACGTGAGACAAGATCCGTGCATCGGTAGGGTGTACACTGTCCATCCAAGCTGCAGTGAGCGTTACCATCTCCGACTCCTCCTACACACTGTTCGAGGTCCAACATCTTTTGAGGATCTCAAGACTGTTGATGGTGTGCTCCATCCAAATTTCCAATCCGCATGCCGTGCCCTTGGTTTACTAGAGGATGATGCGTGCTGGGAGGGCACTCTTGCAGAAGCTGCTGTTTCTGACAGTCCCACCAAGTTGAGGGATCTCTTCAGTGTCTTATTAGTATTTTGCAATGTGAGCAACCCTCTTGAGCTCTGGATCAGATTCAGAGATTCCCTCTCAGAGGACTTTTTGAGATCTGCACATCAAGTCGACATTAACACCACCTTTGAAAACAATCCTATCATATATGACCAGTGCCTAGCAAGCATTCAAGAGACAATCACTCGCATGGGAGGACTTGGGCTCGAAAGCTACAACTTACCAGTACCAGCCATAGATGTCAATCAGTTAAACCATGATTATATCAGAGAGACAAGTTACGACCATCCCGAACTCATTAGGTTTATTGAACAGTGTACGCCAACTCTCAACGAGGAGCAGCGCCAAGTGTATGAGCAAGTTTTGACGAGCATAAATGGACAAAGAAACAAGATGTTTTTTCTTGATGCTCTTGGAGGTACTGGAAAGACCTACCTCATAAAGCTGATTCTCGCAAAGGTTAGATCAAACAGTAAGATTGCTCTTGCTGTGGCCTCTTCTGGCATTGCAGCAACCCTTCTGCCAGGTGGAAGAACTGCCCATTCCATGTTCAAAATCCCAATAAATGTAGAGCATATGGACATCCCGATTTGTTCTATATCGAAGAGCGCTCCCATGGCACGAGTTCTACAAGCAGCCTCCTTAATAGTCTGGGACGAGTGTACGATGTCCAATAAACTGACAATCGAGGCCCTCGACAGAACACTCAAAGATATGAGGAACAGTAATAAGATCATGGGTGGAGTGACGGTATTGTTCTCTGGTGACTTCCGCCAAACTCTGCCAGTTGTAGTGAGAGGCACAAGGGCGGATGAAATTAACGCCTCTATGAAAAGATCTACCCTATGGCCAATAATGAACAAACTGGCGTTAACAAAGAACATGCGGGCCAATATTGGAAATGAGGTGGAAGAATTCTCCAATGTTCTGTTAAAGTTGGGAGATGGAAAGCTGGGTAACGTTGATGGAACTATCGATATACCACCTTCTCTTGGTGTTATTGTTCAAACCCAAGATGAACTCATCGAGAAAGTCTATCCAGGAATTGAAGACCTCCCAAACAAGAGCAGTGCCTGGTTATGCAATAGGGCTATTCTCACTCCAAAAAATGAAGTTTCAACAAAGATAAATAAGAAAGTGATGTCCCTATTCCTAAGCGAGGACAAGACATATTTGTCGGTGAACACAGTTCTAAGAAATGATGACGCAGTGCACTACCCGGCAGAGTTTCTTGACTCGGTGACAGCACCTGGACTACCCGCCCACGAACTTAATCTTAAAATTGGTATTCCCGTTATGCTTCTAAGAAATTTAAACCCTCCTAAATTATGCAATGGGACTCGGCTTCGAATTCGAAGTCTCCAGCGAAATGTCATAGAAGCCGAAATTCTAACAGGCTGTGGTGCGGGAGAAGTGGTGTTTGTCCCCCGGATCCCCCTCATCCCAAGCAACTATCCCTTTGAGTTTAAGCGCCTGCAATTTCCCTTAAATCCATGTTTTTCCATGACGATCAACAAATCGCAAGGTCAGACACTGTCAACAGCAGGGATTGAACTAGGTGACGCGCAATGTTTTTCACACGGACAGCTGTACGTGGCGTGCAGCCGAGTGCGATCGCCAACCAACCTTTACATACATGCCCCAGGCGGTCGAACCACTAATATAGTATATGAAGAGGCATTAAGTTAGGCAACCTTTTAATTTTTTGTGTTTTTTGTTTTTCTTCACTATTTAATATTTATTTTCAATGTATGTCATTTGTTGTTTTTGAAATTTTGATATTGTAATTTCGCTGTGACAAATGTTAAGCGCTTCAACTCTGCTATCTTTGCCAACTTTGTTATTTAAAACTTTCGAATATTTTTTAAGATTTAAGTTTTTTAATGTATTTTTATGTACTAAATTATGTTAAAATAAATTAATCATTGTTATTACAAAAAGTTTGTAACCTTATTCTTGAATAAACCCGTACGAAGAACGGGTACTCACAGCTAGTTACAATTAAAAAACAAAATTGTACGATAGTTCGAATTGTTATTAATCAAAAAGTGCATCTGTTATTAGGGTTATTAGGGTTAACAATGACAAAGTGGTCTTGTCTAACTTATGAATATATAGTCCATACCCTTTATTTTATTTTTTAAAGTTATCATAAATGTGTTCTGTAAGACTATGTATACTCTCACTGCAGCATACCCGCACTTAGTAGAATTAACCTTGAAAATGTAAAATAATTTATTATACATCAGTACACTCAAATGGAACCGGATATGTAACAAATATTAAAACAAATAGATATGACTTCAGTTTCCAAAGTCAATAGCAATTCCTGAATTCAGTGATTATATAACAAAATCACATGTTAGTTCAAACTCGTATAACAAACATAGTATTTTTCCATAAGTAAAGCTTGACCACCAACTATTTTTATAGTTACAACTAACTTTTGACAGGTTGAGATGATCGCATGATGATAATGATGAAATATTACACATTGTGTTATAAGTGCACTGCCATGCTGACTGCGTATCTTTATTGTACGTTTCCTGTGTTAGTTTAAGCAATTTGCTGTGGGAAAGGTGGTTTATATTTAAGGAGACCTTGTGTTTGGTAACATAGCGTAAAGCGTTAGACAGGTTAGAACTACAATTTTGCGTGTTTTACTAATTTGACAATCATATTTGTCTAAGTTGCGATAAAATACATTAAATGGATAGCAATGGTTATATTAGTATACTAGTGGCTGGTAGGGACAGAAGTCCCTAAAAATCTCAAATGTAAAAAAGTTATGGTAATATTAAACAAACTAAGAATTAACTTATCAATGTGACAGGATAGATATCCTTGTACCCCATATCCTTTGAGTTTTCAACGGCATTGGCACGCTTATTTTAGTTTGCTTAATAAACATAAAGATACGGAAACTACCTCCAGTTTTGACTATTATGTATGTATGCTCCCTTTACTATATATATAGGATATATACTATCTTTGACTATTAATACAACAATTATCCAATAGTCAATGATACTATGCATGCTACGTTATATTATTTGAACATTTTTTGCTTGGATCTACAGGCAGTATCTGGTTAAAATACCCCCCAAACAATAATATTTTCCGCCCTGTCCTTAACCATTTGCTAAGCTGTGCACCATTCCTAAACACTCTCCTTCGTAGTCGCAGTCTTCCCCTAACACGATACATTTTTTCCACGATTACTAGAAAAATACCGGTATGGATCATAAACATAAACAAATGACGTTGTTGGCCCGAATCCTATACTAATAGCTTGGACTATTAATACCCCAATAGTCAATCTAATAGCATTGAACATTTATGTTTTGGCAGTTCCATTTAAGCAATGTTAAATAATGTTTATTTTCGGGCCAAAAACGTCATTTATTTATGTTTATGATCCGTACTGGTATTTTTATAGTAATCGTGCATTTTTCAACACTGCATTACCGTTCTAACCTAAAAACAGAACACTAAAATCAATAAATAAACAAACAAATAAATGCACAATGTTTACATCAGCTGGTATATATAAAACAGCTTATAGAGCCTTGATATAAACCCCTTTGTATCAGTACCTCCATTGGAAAAAGACTAGATATTTGAGTTGACGTCCTGTCCTGTCTGTCCAATATGCCTTCAACATTCATATGTTTAACCGTTTAGTTAAACATCACAAATTATACAACAACAACAATTATATGTCAACAACAACAAATTATATGTCAACATGAAAACAAATTATATGTCGAAGCAACGAACGTATACAAGGATTTAAGTAAGTATAATTAACGAAGTTCTACCAGATACTGTCAGAGAAAATATAGTGAAAAAATATTGATCTTGGTTGATTCAATTTATTTCCTAAGAATAAGATAAGCAGGAAAAGTTTAAAATCAATTTACTACAATTATAATTGGCAATAACAAACAAACTCGGATAAAATATCTACAGAAACAGAGCTTTAACAAGCTCCATATTGATGAAATCACTGTTATAATACACGTGTCATATAATTTAAGTTTTTTAACTATATGCAATTAATTGTTATAATTCTAAATCATTTATGAAGATTTTAAATCTCCCAACTCCTATACATTCTTTTTATCCCCGTTTATTCGTCATTTGTCTATATGTCAAACATTTATATAGTGAATATACGCTGAGAGAGCTCTGTTTCAGCAGGTCACAGTGCAGACAAGATACAAGGAAGCTGCAGCTGTTTTGTCGTGCAGCTTTCACCTCTGAACATTTTGCCCTGGAGGATTCTGCCTCTCTCATTCTGACGGTTGTTTTAAACTGAACTTAAACTTGGCTATAAAATTTTCCACTTGTCTCGTACTGTAAAAAATCCCATACTGTTATTTATCTAAATATATAAAAGGCAAAGCCCTCACTGACTGACTGACTCACTCACTCACTCACTCATCACTAATTCTCCCACTTCCCATTTACCTAGGAAGCTGAAATTCGGTACACGGATTCTTTGGGCATTAAATAGGAAAACTAAGTAGTTTTTATCCTGATCGGGCTTTCGGGCTCCGCCCCAGTGGCTCTGGAGTTTCCCATGTTAACCTTATGATTTTTCATATTTAAAAGGAATTAATGAATCTTAACAGCTGATTTAATTAAATGGTGCCGCAATTCCCCCATTGCTCTATTGAGCTTTCATTTTATTTTTTTATACATCCCAAGTAGCTAGTATTTTAAAATTAAAATCATTCTTTTTTATGATTAAACAAGTTGGTTCTGTTCTATGATGTTCAATAGCATTAAAGTTACAAGGATTACCAACAGGGTGCAGCACTATTATTTCTTTTACATTTATGACAACAGCTAATTTGCAACCAAAAGGTGAGTGAGCGTAGCGAACGAACTTCAACCTGGAGGCGAGTTAGCGTAGCGAACCGTCTAACTTGAAGGCAAGTGAGCGCAGCGAACGAGCTCCAACCTAAAAGTGAGTGAGCTTAGCGAACGAACTTCAACCAGGAGGTGATTGAGCCATGCGAACGAGCTTACTTTTAAGTTGAATGGGGCAAGGTCTGTATAAAGTTGAGTGACCCTTGTTGAGCTCGAAACGTGGGCGTGATACAGTCGTCACTCGAAGAGTGTAAAGTAAGTTAACATATTTCTACTGTTGTAGAAGCTAATTGTACTTAGTGTGTAACCGTAAAAATATATTTGAAGCTATGAAAACAGACAATTAAAAAAGATTGGCAACAGAATGTTTGTCGTAATAGTATATTACGTTACTAGTCCTGAAAATAAGTGTTTACCGGACGAGTGTGGTCGTTCCCGTGCGAGACGAAGTCGAGTGCGGGATTACCATACGAGTCCGGTAAACACATTTTGGACGAGTGACGTACGATATTTTACGCCATACTAATAAACCCGTACAAATCCTTATATATTATCACCGACTAAAGGACTAAAAATCACTGGTCAT